AGTGTGGTTTCTTTGTTTCTGGTAGTTGAAGGAGGGTCAAGGGCTATGTCTGGCATGCAGTGAATAGGCAGTTGCTTTTGGGTGGGAGAGAATGTCACTCATTAGGTATTTCAGGAAGATGGTGGTTTAACTTCATTTCTTACCTCCAAGAGGGTAAATGCAGTTGTCAATTGGGTTGGAAAAGTCAAACACTTCAAATGAGACTTGAATTCCTAACAATGCCATCACTTCTTCAATATTTCCTTATAAGTACCATGTGCAAACCCATTTCATCACTGGCGCTGGTTCTTCAAGGTTCTTTTAATTTTTAGTTATTTATTTATTAATTTATTTATTTATTGTATCCAGTTCATAACTGCAGACTGATTCTGTCTCACACCACTCCTGGACTGGCTGGGGCACAGCATGCCTGGAGACAGGGAAACAGGCAGCCCTGAGATATCTTTTCCCCTGCCTCTGGGTGGATAAGCATGGGGGCCTGTGCTGAGCAGCCCATACTCCAAGGCACACTGCACCCCAGCCAGCCTGGGAGCAGGTGGATGGGGTGAAGTGTGCCTCAAGATAGGGGAGCAGGCAGCCCTGGGCTGGATGAGCATCTTCCTCTTCTGAGGTCACCTGGTTTCAGTGCAAACCTGTGTTTATTGCAGAGTCCTCAGTGTTCTGCAAAAGGAGGAGGGTGCTCTTTAACCCCATTTCATTGAAGGGGGAGGGTGGGGTTAAAAAGCCCTGACCAGAAGCCCATGGCAAAGTGCTGCACCTGGGCAAAAAGAACCACCAGCACACTTACATGCTGGGGGATGACCTCAGCAGAACAGCAGAGGAAAGGTATCTCGGAGTCGTAGTTGACTACAGGATGAACATGAGTTGTTAATGTGACAAAGTGATCACTAAGGCTAACCACAGCTTATCATTCATTAGCAAATGGATGATGAACAGGTCCAGGGAGGTGATGCTTCCCTTCTATGTAGCACTAGTCAGGCAGCAGTTTTAGTATTGTGTTGTTTTTGGTGCTACACTTTGAGAATGACGTGGAGAATCTTGAGAGGGTTCAGAGGAGCGCCACTCATATGGTCAGAGGCCTGCAGGCAGGGCCCTATGAGGAGAGACTGAGGGACCTAGATCTCTTCAGCCTTCACAAGAGAAGGCTGAGAGGTGATCTGTGGCTGCCTATAAATTCATCAGGGGAGGGCAGCAAGGAATAGGATGCTCTGTTTAGTAGGGCACCCCCTGGAGTAACTAGGAGCAATGGCCACAAATTGACAGAGAGCAGATTAAGGTTGGACATTAGAAATAACTTCTTCACAGTAAGGGTTGCCAGAATCTGGAATGGGCTTCAAAGGGAGGTGGTGCTCTCTCCTACCTTGGGGGTCTTCAAGAGGAGACTAGACAAGCACCTAGCTGGGGTCGTCTGACCCCAGCGCTCTTCCCTGCCATGGGAAAGTTCATTACACAACCAATTCCTGCAGTGTTTTTTTTCCAGGAAGGAGGAGGCAGCAGCCGATCTTCATCCCGAACCCACCAGAAAGGCGTAAGACTTGTGCATCTGACCCCACAACCTTTGCACATCCTCCCTTCTGGAGCCATCTAAATGCTGTATTCATTACACCAGAGAACTGAGGCCTTTTCTTTCTGGGGAGTGCAGTTGAAATAAAGCACATATTAGCAGGGCTCATGTTAGACTCAACCCTGCCTCAAACACAGATGTTGTTTTGGGGGGCAAAGGGTAGATGCAGGGGGTCTGGATAGAGTTGGACAGCAACACAGGGTTAAGAGGCAGGAGTACATCTAAGGAAGTGATGGCGGCCTGAGTACTGAAGAGGGAGAAGAGCAGGGGCATGGCAGGAGCTGGTGAGGGTCTGGATGTGTATGGCTGGATGTTTGATTATAATGTTTGGAGTCAAGATTAAGGCTTGTGTGTTTGAGCTGCACTGATGGTGTGGCTGGGTCATGTTTTTGGGGTGTCGCATAGTGGATATTTCAGTAAGAGGGTGACCATCTAGGTCTGTGATAGAGAGTCATTTTGTGGGTGTGGTGTTGATAGAGGAGTGTGTCTGAGGGGGTCCCTCTGGGTACATCAGTGCAAGCTTAGCCAGTGCCTGTACAAGAGTTATTCTGTTGGCCAAATTGTTCAGGGTTTAGGCCAGGGGGTGCTTACAGGGGTAGCCTGATGGTTAAATTAGTCAACAGTGACCTACCTATCTGTGTATGAGGGTTACTTTCTGGGTATGTGGCAGGAATGATTGTGTGTGTGAGGGGGTGCATGCATGTGTGTGTGTGTGCTGGTGCAGGATGTGGTCAGGAGTTGTTTTTGTTTTCCTCTGTCATTGAAAGTACAGCTCACGTGGCTGGTCGATTAGCAGGCAACCTTAGTGGTTTTCACAACCATGGAGGAAGAGGCCAGTATTGATGGGTCATTTGGGCCCTTCATAGAAGAGAAAGTTTCCTGTAGGGACAAGAGGAGTGTTTGGATCCTCATGGGCCTTGGGCAAAGGAAATATGTCCTGATGTAACATCCAGAATAAGTCTGGGAGGATCAGGAGGAGAAAAAATAAATGCAATAAAGCAGCCCAGAATTTGTTCCACATGGTATTTATAATGCAGATCTTGTGGAGCAATGCCAAGGCTCTGAGTTCATCCTCACCTGAATCATTTCACTTTTCAACAGCCAGGAAAGGGTTGTACTTACCATGGAAGTAGGGAGTAGGGAAAGAGCTGGGGATCATGTTTATATGTAGAGGTTGGTGGGGGGCAGTCATATTCTACCTGACAGGCACACTTTGGGCTTAAGACAGTGGTGACATTTGCCACCTTGCTGGCAAGAGAGAGACCCTGAAGTGCCTAATTGTTAGGCCACTAGTGGAAAGCAGGGCCTTGGACTGGGAACCATATATCCAAACCAGAAGAAAAGCCAGAAGAAGAGTCCACATCACAGTCCAGGGTCAGGATGTGGGTGTCAGAGGCCAAGTCTTGATCCAAGAGGCAATTCTCAGGGTGGAGTCCAAAATGGAGCCACACTGGGTTCAGGAGCCAGGAAACAACAGCAGAGAAATCCAAACCCAAGGCCATAAAGAAGCCAAAAAACAGAGTGTACGGACAGAGAGGCATGCCACAGAAGAATTATTGATTAGCCTGCAAACCCAGAGCCTCAGATGGTGACAACTGGATTGGTGGTGGTCCCAGCAGTCAATTGGATGATTGCTGCTGCCCAAATGGGCAGTTTTCATTAGTTGAGGCTTAGTGCAGATGAGGCTTTTGAGGTACATGGCTCAGGCTGACCTGTCTTATCAGAGTCCCTGACTCCTTGGACCCACTGGGCCTGCCAGATTAGCATCCTTGATAGCCAACAGTGGCTCCAGTGACAAAAGGGTCAAGTAAACCTTGTGTGACATGGGGAAGGTTCAAGCAACCCCTAAACCCAATAACAAAAGGAGAAGGCAGTGACCCTAGTGTGCTTTGGGTACACAACCTGACTAAAAAGATTCACCCACCTGCCGTAGGCATGCATTGGGAAGAATGTGGTGTGGTGGTGACTTTGCTACCTGGATCACTTGAATTCAGGGATTTGAAGTGCTTCTCCCCACCCTTGCAGGGAAAACTCAAGCACCTTGGGGTATTCAGGGAACTACAGACCAGTCAGTCTCACCTTAGTCCCTGGAAAAATCATGAACCAGATCCTCAAGGAATCCATTTCTAAGCACTTGGAGGAGAAAAAAGGGAATTAGGATTAAACAGCATGGATTCACCAAGGGCAAGTCATTGCCTGACCAACTGGATTGCCTTCTATGATGAAGTGATTGGCTCTGTGGCTGTGGGGAGACCAGTGGATGTGGTGTACCTTGATTTTAGCAAGGCTTTTCATATGGTCTCCCATACCATTCTTCCAGGCAAACTAATGAAGTATGGGCTGGATGAATGGACTGTAAGGTGGATAGAAAACTGGCTGCAGCATCAGGCTCAGAGGGTAGTAATCAATGGCTTGATGGCTGGCAGCTGGTATCAAGTGGAGTGCCCCAGGGGGTTGGTCCTGGGACTAGTTTTGTTCAATACCTTCATCAGTAACATATCAAATGGCATATAGTGCACCCTCAGCAAGTGTGCAGATGACACCAAGCTGGGCAGAGTAGTAGATATGCTGGAGGGTAGCGCTAGGATTCAGAGTGACCTAGATAAATTGGAGGAATGGGCCAAAAGGAATGTCATGAGGTTCAACAAGGACAAGTGCAAAGTCCTGGACTTTGGATGGAACAACCGCATGCACAAGTGCAGGCTGGGGGTTGACTGGCTGGGTAGGCACTCTGAAAAAAAAAGACCTGGTAGTTACAGTGGACAATACATTGAATATGAGCCAGGAGTACCCTTGTTGCAAAGAAAGCTAATGGCATAATGGACTGCACTGTTGGTGTGTTGGCTTTAGGTCAAGGGAGGTGATTATTCCCCTATACTTAGCACTGATGAGGCCACATCTGGAGTACACTGTTCAGTTTTGGGCCACCCATTACAGAAAGGATGCGCACAAGCTGGACAGAGTCCAGCGGTGGGTGACAAAAATGGTGAAGGGGCTGGGGGACATGATTTGTGAAGAAAAATTGGGAGAAAGGGCTTATTTAGTTTAGAAAAGAGGAGAGTGGACTTAATAGCAGCCTTCAACTACCTGAAGGGGGGTTTGAAAGAGGATGGAGCTGGACTGTTGTCAGTACTGCCAGATAACAGAACAAGGATCAATGCTTTCAAATTGCTGTAAGGGAAATTTAGGTTAGATATTAAGAAGAATTTTCTTACTAGGAGGGCAGTAAAACCCTGGAACAGGTTACCCGGAGAGGCAGTGGAAGCTACATCCACTGAGGTTTTCAAAACCCGGCTAGACGTAGCTTTGCCTTGGATGATCTCATTGGGGATGGTCCTGCTTTGTGCAGGGGGTTGGACTAGATGTGACCTCCTGAGATCCTTTCCAGCCCTAACTTGCTATGATTCTGTGATTCTATTCTGGTATATCATCCCCACTTCCTATCTGCTCCAGCCTTTGAGACATCAATGCTTTCACCACTGTTTCTGGCAAAAAGCCCTCCTTGGTCTCTACCCCTTCCTCCCCACCAGCAGAGGATGAGTGTGACCCCATAGAACCAGGCTCTCACAGTTACCCAAAGACAAAATGCCTGAGCCCAGTGCAGTTTGCACACAGCCTCTACTAGCTTCTTCCTTCCTGGCTGGCTCCACAGGAGGTCTTGGGGTCTGGCCACACCATGAAATGGAAAGAAGCAGAGAGCCAAGTGCCCATATGTCCATTGCTGTCATGATCCCACTTGGGCTCTAGACACAGAGATGTGAACTCAGCTCTTGGTAGAGCCCTAGGGCAGGTTTCTCCAGTTTAAACCCACCCCCCTTGTTTCTGTCTCACTGAACCTTCTTTCACATGTCTCACCTGAACAAGTGGGATTATGCCACCTCTTTCCTCTCTCACCAAGCTATAGACCCTGGGTCCCTGTACACTATCTCACCATATCAAGAAAAACACCACAAGGAGTAGGGTTGTTCCAGGAACCCAGAAACCACTCAAGATGAACTACTTGACCCCAGTGTGATTTGACCATACAGCCTTCTGATCTGGAGTCAGACATGCTACTGCTGCCCCATGGAGCCACATGTTTTACATATTTCTCTTTCCTCTTCATCATCTCCCTGCCAGAAGGTCTCCCACCTGATGCACTTGGGGATTTTTCTTCCTCTCATCTTCCATGTGGCATGTATGCTTTGGGACACCACAGAGGAGTCTGGGGCATCAGAAAGGGTGTGCGAAACAGGTCCTATTTGATTTGGATTTGGCCTGAATCAGGGACAGTGATTCAATTAATTGAATCTCATCACTGTCCTGATTCGATTTGACTGAATCCAAATCTGAAGATTTGGTGCTGATTCAGAGAATCACCAATTCAGACATAGTTACAGCTTTAAATGTTTTATTTCTACATACCTCGAGGTACCAGTGTGGCTTCTGATTTGTGTGTATGTGTCTGTGTGTATATCCCAAACACCTGGGTTCTCTGTGTGTGTATGTGTGTCCCAGATGTCCGGGTTCTGTGTCCATGTATATTGGACACCTGAGTTCTCTGTGTGTGTCCTACATTGTGTGTGTATGTGTGTCCCAAATGTCTGAATTCTGTTTGTGTGTGTGTGTTTGTGTGTTCATACAAGTTTTCTCTGTGTGTTGGATGCCTAAGTTCTCTGTGTGTGTCCCAGGCACCTAGGTTTTGTGTGTATGTGTATATCAGGGGTGTGGGTGTGTATCAGGGGTATGTGTGTGTACTTGTTAATCTAGAACACCTGAATTTTGTGTGTCCTTGGCATCCCACCTGTCCAAGCATGGATGTGTTCTGGACACCCACATTGCTTGTGTGTGTGTTTTGAGGATGCCGAATTGTGTGTGCTGTGTGTCCCAGACTTGAGTTTTGTGTGAGTGTGGCCTGGGTGCTTGGTGTGTGCATGCACATGCATTTTGCATACAGCAGTTGGTGTGTGCAGTCTCCACTAACTGGGTTCCCTTGGTTCTGCTCCATGGGGAAGCCCCCCAGTGCAGCCTGGGTCCTCCTGGTCTGTACTCGTCACTGACCCAGGACCCACAGCCCCAAGGCCAACAATTCCAACCTCTGGCACCCACATCCTGGCCCTGAGCTCTCCAGAGACCCTTGAGGCACTGCACCTGCCTCAGTACCCCCAAGCTCCAGGATTCTGCCTGCTTCCCCATGGGGTAGGGAAGGACGTTACCCCCATCAGATTTGTGCCACAGTGGCACATTCTCTTCTGGGGCCTCCCCAGTGCCTCACCCACTTGGCTGTACAAGTTCTGGCCATGCTCCTGGGTCACTCTGGGACTGCAGGCATGGGGAGAGGAGAAGCAGGGGGTCAGGCCAGCCCCAACCCCACCATCCTGCCCCCTTCCCCACCTCCCAGCCACACAGTCACCATCAGCTGTGTGCCATCACTGGCCAGGGACATGCCCACATGGAGGGGGGTCTCAATTCCACCTGCAAGCAGAGAAGGGGTGGGCAGGGGTTACCCACTCTCAACTCAGACAACACAGGCGTTCCTGCCCTAGCACCCTCTGCTCATAGCCTGCAGCCCCCCTCCCTCCCCAGATAACCCAGGCATCCAGGCTCCCAGCCCGCACTGCTCTCACCCTGCAGCACTCCTCCCCTTCCCTCCCCTCCCAGGAAACCCAGCCATCCCTGCTCCCAGCCTTGCTACTCACCCCCTTCCCACCCTTCCTCCACCCAGATCCCCACTCCCCCAACTCACTGCGCACAAGAACAGGCTCACAGGAGTTGGTGGGGACAGTGCATTGGTACAGGCACCCTGGGGTGTTGTGCTCCCTGCAGGAGCAGGCAGAGGTTAGGGGCACCTTCTGCAGAACCCAGGTGTCCAGGCTTCTAGTGCCCAAGTTCCCTAGTTCCCCTGCCCCAGTTCTGGTCAGGCTATCATATCTGTCCTGTATTAGCCCCTGGCTTTGTGGTGACAGCTGAGGACATTGGGGTAGTGAAAGGGGAACCAGGAGGCTGCAGCATGGGCTGAACATGGACAAGAGGAAATGCACCAAGCGCAGGCAGAGGCCCAGAGTTCCCTCATGTCACCAGGGAGTCTCTCTGTTCTGCTAAAGAACCCAGCCATCCTGGCTCCCAGCCCCACTGCTCTCATCCCCCAACCCCACTCCCCTCCCAGGGAACCCAGGAATCCAGGCCCTTAACCCTCCTCTGCCCCACTACACAACTACGGGGCTGCTCCTACCTGCCATTTCCAAAGTCTGGGACCTAGAGACTGAAATCCAGGACCTGTCCAATGCCAGGGGCCAGGACAACTGTGTGGGCCTTTTCAAGGTTATACCCCAGGGCCTAGGGAGGGGCCAGGGCTGGGCCTAGGGGGACACAGAGCAGGGGACCAGAATACCTAATCCCTGGCACCAACCCCAGCACTGGACACAGCTTTGTGACACCTGCCCCCAGGTGCTCACCCTAGAACTGTCTGCAGCTCCATTATACCTGGCCCATGACACTCACCCCAGAGCTCATTACAGCTCCATTACAGCTGGCCCATGGAACCCATCCCAGATCCAGCTTCAGCTCCATTATACCCATCCCATGATCCCACAGGGCCGTGCTGGGAGAAAGGAACCCTGTCACTCCCATCCTGGAATGGCGCAACAGTCGCTAAGGGCTGGGGGCACTGGTAGGGTAACCATATTTCCAGTTCCAAAACGAGGACACCTGTTGAACAGGGAGGGAGGGGGAAGTCATATGTGGATGCTCTACCCCTGCACATTTTGTTGCCCCTCACTCCCAAGCCACAGCCTACCCACCCCTCTTCTGTGCTGCTGCCCCACAATCCCCTACCTTTCCAAGCAAAGGCACCAGGCCCGGTGCCTCCAGCCCAGCCATGCAGCTCCCTGATGCCCTTGAAGGGCTTTGCACACCCCTTCCCTCCACTGCAGGGGTAGGCATGTCCTCCCCACCTCCCCTGGCCCCAAAAGATCTGGAGCCCAGACAGCTTCCCTCAGTGCTGGCATGCACTCAATCCCACTCAGACAGCTATCCCCTGCACACATCCATGCTCCCCACCACACACACACATGGGCACACACATGCAAGTGCCCACCCCAAACCCCTCCAGTCAGTCCCCAAAACATGGCCCTCCAGACCCCACAAACCCCAGATTGACCTTCATACAGCACCTGGGGTGACTAACACATATTGCCTGATTGCATGCTTCCATTCTTTGCCATGGTTTCCAGACTGGTCCGAGGCCCAGCCAAAGAAGCTAGCAGATGAGGACTCCTACCTCCACTAGCACTCTGCTGCATGGTGGAGTGCACACTTTTCTCCTCCCGCTGGGTTCCCGCTCCTGGCATGGGTAGCCCCTTAACTGGGCTGCTCACAGTGCAATCAATGGCTATAGGCATATAAGCAGGAAAAGGGCAGCCCTACACAGGCAGACACCTCCATCACAACCAGCAGCAGGGACTGGCCCTGTCCACTCTCACACCTTTCAAGGGCTGAGCCTAGGGCAAGGCCTATCACTTGCCTGAGAGAGACTTGAACCCTGGATCCTCAGAATAAAAGTCAAAAGTTCTACCAACTGAGCTATCAAGGAAAAAGATGAAAAAGCAGCATCCCTCTCTTCACCATGGTTGCCACCTGGCCCCAAGCCCAGCCCAAACAACTAGCCAACCAGGACTCCTCCTGGCCCCTCTGGCACTCTGCTGCAAAGTGGAGTGCACATGTTCAACCTCCCACTTGGTTGCCCTCTCTGAACACAGGCAGCCACTTGCACATCTCTGCACCACTGCCCCAGACTCCCCAAACTCTGCCCTGAAGACTCCTTGCTCAAAGACATGCTTCCCTGAAGATGGCTCCCTCAGCTCTTCAGCCACACCCACACACAAATAGTCATCTGACCCAAGTGGGAATGAAGGTCCCTGCTCAAGGTGGGTGAGGCCCTGATTCCTCTCCCCCTCCCCCACAGCCCAGCTCCATGCCTTGACAGCCACCATCCCCCAACACTATGGGCTTGGAGGACCATGGAGACAGGGGTACGGAGGTACCTAGCCCTCCATGTTCTGGGCCATGCACCACCTGCAACAAGGAAATGGCCCCACCTTCCTCTGGGGATGGATAAAAGGGGATCACCGCGCACAAGGATGCAAACCAAGTCTCCCCAGGCAGAAGGAGAAGTAGGGCTCATTCAAGTAGTTGAACCCAGGACCTCCAGCACCCAAAGCAGAGATCACGGCCTTAGACCAACAAGCTGGGCACCTGCTGACCCCTAACTCTGCCCTGCCACATTTCAAGACCCTGTGGCATGGGACCCTCTTGTGCCATGGAACTGCTGTGCATTTCCGAGCCCAGGCTTCCAAGCTGACTTCCGTTGTGGCTCTTCCCTCATGATGACCTCTGAAGTGATGCTCTCCTGCTTGGGCAGATGGCCAGAAAGTCCTGTGCAGCAAGCCAGGACGTGGAGAGGAGGCAAA